CAACTTACCAAAAGAATCTTTCATCAATAAAAATTTTTGAATTCGATGATTAACTGTATCAGTAACAAACATGTTTCCAGAACGATCGAAACTCAAACTAAATGGACCATCCAATTGATTAGATTGTGAACCCCATCCATAACATCCAACTAAACATCGAAAACCATTCAAGCCTGAACCAACAATGCGACGATTGAGTTGATCCACAATGAATAAATATTTCTCATTATCTAATATAATTCCACTTGGGCAACTAAGCGTAATTGTTGGATTTAGTGATGTAATTCCAGCCACTGTAATACCATTTGATTTTCCGGGCTGGAACAATTGAACTCGATGATTACCCCACTCTGCGACATATAAATCCAAATTCACATCAACAAAGATTCCACTAGGAAATGCAAGTTCGTTTGGTGCTGATCCTGTAGAACTAGTTCCAGCAGCAACACGATTTGAAGTCATCACAGTATCATTTAATAACCTTTTCACTACTTGATGATAAACAGTCATTGAACAATAAAGAGTATCATTGATATCAACAAACAAACCACCACATTGCGAACTGACATTCATCACCGTGGCAAAGGTATTTGTTTCTGTTATCCATTTCTGCACTCGCCCATTCTCAAAACCATCATCAATATAAATATCACCATTCGATGTCACGAAGAGAGAAACGGGTTTTGTAAAATTACCGTGAATGATCTTTGTTGGGTTGATACTCTCGTCGCGCCAAATTAAAACTGTGTTGTCTTCTCCATTAGTGACATAGACTGTGTTGTTTGTGTTTACAAAAATGGCGCCAGGTTGTACTCCAACAATCGATGAATCAGCAAACGTAATTCCATTGGAATCCCAAGTAGCTGTTGAAGAAAACTTTGGTTGATTGAATGAAAGAGCTAAAACGAGAAAAATATAAAAAATATTAGCGAAGAATTGTAAATGAAATGAAATTGTTAATCTATGTTTTTTCTTGGAAAAGTTCATTGAGATTAATTTTGAAAAAGATTTCTATGATTGTTGTTCTATTTTCTCGGATGATTTGTAAATATTAACTGACAGAGAGAGATAAATTCATCGAAGAAGATCAACGTTATTTATTGATTATTCCGTTGTAAAAGAAAAATAATTATGGTCAGGGGTGGCCCGAGCCAGCCAACATTGGGGGGGTGTAACGAAATTTTTTGAATTTTTGGGGGGGTGTAGCGAAATTTTTTTGAATTTTTAGGGGGTGTAACATTATCTTGGGTAAAAAACCTAAGAAAATTTGCCGATTTTGTTGAGCAAAAAATAGAAATTTTCGAAGATTGGGGGGGTGTTACACCCCCGACACCCCCCCGGTCGGGCCACCCCTGAATTATGGTTGATCCTTGAAAAATGAATTGAAAAAAGGGAAAAAGAATTGTATAGAATGAAAACGAGTTTATTGAAATTGATTGAGATTAAAACAAAATGCCTTTGAAATTCAAAATTAATTCTCATTTTCAGATGAAAGACATTGTGAATTTATTGATGTTAAATTATTTTCATTGAATCTAATAAGTAAAAAAGAGGAGGGAATTCTTTTGCTAATCTTTAACTAAATAGCCATTCGAAGAAATTACTTAAGAAACTATTTTGAGATAGAAGTAAAATGAAAATATTCTTTTTCTTTTCTTATCAATAATATATTTTTATTTTTTTTTAAATTCTCATCAAATTAAACAAAACAAATTGACTCTAACTTTTTTTGTGAAATAATAATTAAATTTAATTAGACTTTTTCCTCTCATTATTTCAACTGGAATATTGTGAAAACAAAGTTTCAATAATCATCGATTCATTTTAAACAGGAGAAAAACTTATATATATTTGATCTTTGATTCGAATCTTGTCTTACTTAACAGTATTCTTTCATGATAGTGTAGTGATGAAAATGGTAGTGTCAATCATGAATTTGCACTTGCAAAGTAGTTCTACATTATCATATGATTTGTGCTCTTTCTTTCTTTCTAGCAAATCTATTCATTTCCACAGCTTAAAATTTTAAATTTTCTCAGAAATAATCTTGTTACGGAAGTGTCGATGAAGAATATTTATAATTCCATTGACTAATCAAATTCATTTCTACGAGATAACTTGATATGTTCCAAAAAAAAAATCTTGAGGATGAGGGTGTGGATATGTGGGTGAAAGTGTGAGTAAGAGTGAAAAGGATAGTACTCACACTCTTACCCACACCCGCACTCATCCTCACACCCGAGCCCTGACTGAGCCCGAGAGTTTCGGGGCGGACTCTGGCTCGGTACGTTCCTAGATAATATAGATTTTGAGAATAATTTTAGATACGAAATCAAAAGCTTCACCACGATTTTTACTATGAAATAATATCCCATAGTTAGAAACACCCGATCAATCTATTTAATTTTTTAAATGAACGGACTCACGGATTTTTTCAATGTGACAGACCTATAACTCATATCTCGTCACTGATAGTTATGGCAACATTTTATAATTTGAACACAGTTTAACAATATAATCAATCGTTATAGAAAGTGTCAAGTTCTATAATCTATTATTTTCATCCTTTTTGTTCAACTAAAACTTTAACGAATAATGCCATTGTTGTGCTATAGCTGATCTTTAGTATGGGCTAAATTAAAGTACTTACCTGATGTTTCATTGTTGGGAATGAACAGAAGAATAATTATAAATACATAGATTTTCCACATCATTCAATAAGAGTTTTTTTTTGATAAACTAGTTAACCAGTAACATAATCTTCTTCTTCTTTGTCTTCGATGAAAACAAAATGACACTCGTTGTAGATTTTCTCTCTATTTATATCTCTCTGCTTCTCTCATTTATTTCTTCCAACATCACACAAAGAGAAAAAATAGTGTTCTAGGGAAGGTTTTGTCGTAGGTAAGATAAAAATTGATGATTTAATTTGATATTTTCCATTCAATTTCATTCTTTTCCAAATTCGAAAACACAGCATGGAAATTTCATTTTACATAATCTGTTTATTTTTTTTTTAATTCTGTAGAAAATCTTTGATTTTAATGTAGAAGAACGTGATAAAGAGAAAAGAGAATTGATCAAAGCTTGCATTAATCATCAGACGTGTTTTAACTGAAAATAAGATATCAACCTTCATCGTCAATAGATGATTGACGTCAATGAATAAGTCATGATTAGTTTTATGTCTTTTTCTATTTGACTCTGTTAAATAATCTGCTTTGTCAGGATTCATTTTTAATCACGTTCTTTATTTCTCTTGAGGGCAACAAGTATTTTTATATTAGATATATAAAAAACAGAATTGTTCATCGCGATACGATGTATTTTTCTGAGAGACATGAAAAAGATGCATGAACTCAACTCTAAATTCAATACATACAAAAGCCAAACTTTGAAAATGGATATTTCTTGCAATCCATCCGACAACGACGAGTTGTCAATCATGAATCATGATGAACATTTCTCATTCGAATTGATAGGTGTCGGTGTGAATGAAAGATGACTATACTTTCCACATTTTCGCTTATGCGCGCATACCTACAGTATTCATTATATACAAAACATTGTTAACTAGTTTGAAAAATATTCATCGTATAAAATAATTGAAAATCAACAAAATTTGATTTTTCTCAGAATTTATTACTGTGTCAAGACTTTATTTATTTTGTTTTATCACAAAAGTCAAAATACATTGCAATCATGGCATCAGGAGAAGGTTGTGGGTATGGGTTTGCGTAAACTGAGAGCAAACCCACACTCACACCCGCCCTCAGGAGTTCAATAATGCTTGTCTGACTCATACAAGAAAAATTCAAGCGTACGAGTTCTTTGCTACTTGTCTGACTTATAAAAGAAAACCCAAATGCAAGAGTTTTCTTATGCTTCTCAGAGATGGGATCGGTTCGGCTCAAGACTGAATCAGTCTCATCTCTGTTAAGTGTATAAGTGAAGATTTTCCCATTTCGAACGATGAATATACTTTTATCAATAGGATCTCTTTCAAGTTCCCACTGGTTAGATAAGAGTGCATTAAAGAAAGTATCTTTTACACGTATTAACGTATCAACGCTTGTGGTGTATTTTTCACCTCCAACATTGATGTTGTTGCTAATTTGACATTGATATCTTTCCATTCTTTTTCTTCATTCGATGCATTGACTAATTTGCTTTCTAAAATAGTATTCATTTCTATTGTTTCAAGATATAATTTTTCAGACATCTTGATACAATTACTACATTCATTTAGTTTTGAAATGGTCTCATCTCGTATTTTATCGAAGCGTATCCACATTCGACTGCATTTTTACGTTTTCGTCTGACAAATAAAAATCTTTTAGATGTGTTCGTTGCCTTTTTTTATCTTGAACTGACACTCGCATGCTTTAGGAGCAAGTGATAGTGGCGTTATTAACAGAGTGACAGGCTCTTTCTCTATATCCTCTAGCGCCAGTCCAACTTGTAAATACTAAAAATGGTCTCTTCTTTCTTTCGTAATTCTTAAAAAAACATATATATTATTCTTCAATCAAAATGAAAGTCACAACTATGATAGACATAGTTATTTTCTAGTATTTTGTTTACAGTTACATTTGCCATGAAGATGAGCAGTAGCAGCTTGAAGAATGGCATTATTACGAGCAATAATAGGAGCAGCACCAGGACTGCGAGCAGCGGCACCAATAGCAGCAGTGGCAGCAACAGTATCAGTATTCGCTGCAGCATCACGACCAGCATAAGGGCACACGTCACCAGAAACATTGTCAGTACGATTAGTATCCGCAGCAGCTTGTTGTTTTGTATTACATGAACCCATATTCTTTGATGCGATAGATTATTGACTTTCTAAATGTAAAGATACAATCTTTCATATTTCATATATATATGCGATGAGTTCAATAAAAATACAAATACAATACGACGTCTCGTCTTATTATTTAAAAACATTATTTTCAATCATTCAACAATACAAAAGATGTTATGTAGGTCTGAATTTGATTAACATAAAATGATTTTATAAGACTTTCATAGTAATATTATTTAAGCATCACTCAGATATATGATCTATTTGACTATTTTTCATATGTATTCTCTTTTCATTAAGTTTTACAGCATGTCTACTTTCCAACGACTGTTTTCTTCTTTATGAGAGAAATGAAACAAAAAATATTTTTCTCTTAATAGCGTTTTTGTGACGTCAATCCAAAATGTTACTAAACAGCAACAATGTAATAAACAAAAAAATGTTGTTGCTCCACATTATAGATTTTTCTCTACTAAACTTTCATAACAACGGTCGATACGATGACGACGACGAGAGTCGGAGAATGAGTAAAGAATATTAACTACCACTACGCACGTCGACGCAGTTGAGAATCTCAACACATTTTGTTGAGAGTGGATGTAGGTGTTGGATAAATAAATTATTCGCATCCACATTCGTCACTGTTGAGTTCAAAAGTAGGCGATTTATAAATCTAACTCGATTATAAACAAGTATTAGATAAATAAGTGCGAGTATATTGTATAAGCATCGAGCCAGTTGACGAATTTTGAACTGATTAATAAACCAAAGTGATTAAATTATCTTTATCATCTTAAGTGTCAATATAAGTATCTAACATACTCATGGCGGAATATAATTTTACCAAATTTAAAAGTACTACTGTCACGAGTTTATAGTAGGCATTTAGACTGCTTTGAATTTCTAGACTTATCAATTTACCAATTTCGACCCTATTTATAAACATTTAAAATTTTTACAATTTCTGATAATTTTAAATTTTTGACAAAATCATTTGGGACTCGTACATACGAATATTTTTCAAAAATGCTAAGTCTACTCCGGCATCAATGAATCTAAAAACCATCTTGAAGATGTCAGGGGCGTAGGTCAGCTGCCAGAGCAGGTGGGTGTGTACAAGGGGCGATAACGCTAGTTTTTCTATTTCAATGGTCAAAAAAAGTGAACTTTCTAGAAGCACGGGGGGGGGGGTGGCGCAAACCCCTTTTTTCCTATTAGTTTTCGGAAGCAGAGGGGTGGCATGCGCCTCACGCCCCCCCCCTCCCATACTTACGCTACCGGAAGGTGTGGGTGTGCATAAGATTTTACTCAATAATACCCACATCCTCATATATTAGATTGTGTATAAGAAAGACTTTAGGACTGAAATGCTTTTTCAACTTTGTCACCTCTTATCGAGATTTATTTATTAATAAAATATAAAAAGAATGTTGTTTAGTTCTTTTTCTTTTAGCATATGAAATAAATGACATGATAATTTTTTTTCTGTTCTTTTTATGTATTCAAGGATCGAGTATAAAATGAAAGTGTTGATAAAAAAAGAGATATTTATACTAAAAATTCTTTACGTCATGATGAATATTGTTGAAATAAATATTCAAATGATAAAAAACTTTATTTTAAAAAGAAAAAAGATACACGTGTAGTTAATAACATGGCTCTATCATTACCTATTCTTATTGGATGGTTGGTATATATAATAATAGCATATTATTGTATTTATTCTATTTCAAATATTTTAACACGAATTATTTTAATATTAATTCTATGTTTATCATTAACATATTTAACATGTCATAATCTTCCTGTATTTCATCTATCTTCACTATTCATTGTTGCAATATGTTGGTTAACATCAATTCGTTTATTTCATTTAATAATATTTTCAAAAAACAATTCATTAACATTTAAATCTTATTTATTAAAACTTCTTTGGATTTATTTTCCAATTCAAACGAGTACATCTGTAAAAAATCAATGGTCAATTATTTCGAGTATAATATTAATTATAATTAAATTATTAATGAGTCATTGGGTTCATCGATGGTTAATAAATTGTGATAGAGGAATTAGTTTTGAAAGAATAGTTATGTTTTATATGTCTATAATGACAACATCATATGCTGTTGATATTCAAGTAATTTTAATTCGAATATTAACTCGAGATAAATATACAATGGAATCATTTACGAATTTTCCAATATTTAGTTTATCAATAAGAGAATTTTGGGGTAGAAGATACAATAAAATTACAAATACTATACTAAAACAATCAATATTTGAACCATTACGTTCACAATTTTTATCTCCAACAATTAGTGCATTAATAACATTTATTATTAGTGGTCTTATGCATGTTCATGTAGCTTTTGTTATTTTTGATGATCTATCAACATTATTTCCAACATTTTGCTTTTTCTTTCTACATGGCATTGCTTGTTGTGTAGAAGCAAATACGAATATGCAATTTGATGATCATGTTCGATGGGTATTAACACATACATTTCTTCTTATTACAGCACCACTTATGATTGGACCATTTATAAAAGAAGGATCAGTATTTTTAAAACTTAATCCTCCACCATTGTTCGATAATGAATGGATACCTAAATTACCTTTACCTAATTTTTGTCCATAATAAAATAAAGATTCTTATTCATATTTTACATATTACATAATACGAACTTCAACATTCAATAGTTGATTTCTGTAAGCGAACATATAGATTATTATTGTTCGCTATTTCTTCGCATATATGTTCCTGTTCTTTTGACTTGTATTGGAATGTGTTATTCCTAAGGATAGGAGTAATCAAAGTAACCATTTCTTGTCCTATAAATACTTGTGTTTTCTTCATAAATAAACGAACTACTAATAGTAGCTGAAGGTTTGTACTATAGGCACATGTTCGCTCTGAGCGATCTAGAAGAAGCTGAATAGTCGAGTGCTCGAGTTATAAATTTTAGAAGTTTTAAACTCGTAATGAATTAAATATATTGCGTACTTAACTGCAAAATTAATTTCCACGTTTCAATCAGTCAATACTAGTATAAATTTACGCATATTAATATCAATAGTTATTGTTCTTTTTCGTCATTATAACGTGGTATAGTTCAAAAGATATGAAAATAAATCAATAATTACATCATTAACAATTCGACAAACTTCGATATATTGATCGGAGATTATAATTTTATAAATCTTTTATCAATTTTTTATAGCTCTGTCTTTATCTGCATTCAATTTTCAGTCACACAGAACAGAAGCCAATATATTCAACCAATTTAACAGTTACTCTAGTATACTTGATACTTTTTCCTGTATAACTCTATTTAATAGATATCAACAGTTACATTTAGGTGATATTTTTAGTTGTAATCAACATAGTTTAATACTGTAATATTTAGGCAGAGATAGGTAAATATTCATTATCTTACAGTTGCTTGACAAGAAAAAACAAAGATAAAAAACTATATACTTCTCAAGAATTCAACTAGAAAAAATAACGATTATCTTTTTAAAGTCGAATACTGTTATTTCTATTTTATTTGTTCTTATATATTTCAAAAGTATAATTGTTAGAATACAATCTGTTACTAGTAAAGGTAAATTTGATTTTGGTTCAAATCAACTAGCATCAAATATTTGGTATAAATCAAAAGGTCAATTAATCAATGGTCATTATGAAAATAGTTATTCAAGTTTTAGTTTATGATCAAATCTTTTATTACATTTACAAAATAATAATGGTTCAATATCAATACAAGCCTCTAAAATTGGATATATGATGAATTTTCGTAAGAATAATATTTCTGTTATTGCAGTATTACCTGCTTTTACTCAATGCTATGATGGTACTAAATTCGGATTATTGGAACTTTATTTTGTAAAATTTTTGATATTTCTAATTCAATAGATCGACAAGATCGAAATGGAAAAGGATGGTTTGTTACTCGAGATGGATTTTTATATACTCCTGATTTTTTAAATTTTGATGAAAGAATGTCAAATTTAATTCCTTATCTTGACTATAATAAATTAATGAATATATCAAGCGCAATCCACCACAACAGTTATATCCAAATCTTTCCTGGACGGATAGAAAAACATTAGCACGTGTTGATAATTGTCCTCAAGCAGGTACAAATTGTATTTCAAATCTAATGCATGATTATATAAAATATCTATCTATTATGAATGAAAAATTTTATGGTTCGAAACAATTCGATTATGCTTATCGTTATGTTACTAATCCTTGCCATCAAGATACACAACATTTAAAATATTTAGTAGAATTACTCTATTCTGTAAATAATTGCCCTGAAGTTGTTTATATGGATATGGATTTAACATATATTACATCGTATTCATTAGAAGTTCTTCATATGACTATTTCATTTGGAATTAATTTAGTTGATCAATGTGTAGACATTGATAATTCTGTTGCAGAAATTCTTTCGACAGATCATTCACAAATTGTTTTAAATTTTTTAATCAATCAGAGTATTGTTGATAAAGATACGCATATTGCAATAACAAGTTGAACTACATGGCTCATTGAAACTGGTCAACAAACGAATGAGTTACGATCCGGTGGCATGGCTCATACTGCAAATGAAATCTTTGAACAAATACTAATACCACATTCATTTGCAAAATAAGTATCAGTTGTAGAGAATAAAATAAAACTACATCGATTATTTTCTATCAAATAATTAATTACTCAGATTTAATCGTATTAATATAAATTCTGACTTTGAAAATACATTAATTTAAAAGAATGAAATAAATTAACACAAGACAGAAGTAGTAGAATATATAAAAGTATATCGATCGATTAAAGATAGAATTAAAAATGTTATTTAATTATTTCTCTCTTTTATTCGAAATAGAATAAATTTTTAATATATTTATAATTAACAGGAAAATTATTTACTTAATTTTTTTCACCAAAGTTTTTAGAATGTCAATTATATTATTTAATTTCATTTCATTGATTCTATTCAATATTTTACATTTTGAAATCTATTCTATAAATATGACAATAAAAATTTTTTTTTTATTTATATTTATAAGAATACACATCATTGATGAATCTTTAAATTTAATAAAGTACAAAGAAACAAAAATAGATTACATAGATAGAGAAATAATTTTAACAAACATTATTATGCATATTGTTCAACAGAAATATTCCTTTGAAAATTAAATATTTTATATATTGTAGTATTATTTTATAATGAATTAAACTTTTTTTTTATCTTACTGTTATCGGTGAATCACCACCATGTTTTATACATATCGTTCTTTCTCTTTCTATTATTTCTTGTTATCGTTTCTCTTCTGTGTGATGTTAACACCTATACATGTGCGTGTGCGTGTGAAAATGGTGTGATTTTCTATATTTAAAATAAACATACACGCTCGTCGAAACGAACTAACGTTTACTATATTC